ACGTAACGTAACGTAACGTAACTAACGTACTACGTACTACTACTACGTACTACTACTACGTACTACTACTACTACTACTACTCTACTCTACTACTCTCTCTCTCTCTCTCTCTCTCTCTCTCTCTCTCTCTCTCTCTCTCTCTCTCTCTCTCTCTCTCTCTCTCTCTCTCTCTCTCTCTCACACACACACACACACACACACACACGCAAACACACACACACACACACGCACAGAGTGTGTGAGTAGGTGCACGCATTGGACATCACACATGCTTGTATGTGTATGCATCCACACACACATGCAGTGTAAGTGAATGGCGACATGGATGTGCCAACAGACACACTCTTATGCTTGTCGCGGTAATTGCAAGTTCCAATGCCCTTTTGTATTTTTTAAACCAATTGTGCTGACCCTAATAATTTCATATTCTATTAAGAACTAAGTCCATTTAAGATAGAAAACCTTCATATATTATATTATACAGTAAATTCACATAAGTAAATAGTCCCAAAAATCTAGTTACCTACCTAATCACACTACGATTAACTTGACAATCCTGAAGATGCATCCATTTTCTAGATTCCGTTTGCAATTCAGTGTTAGGAATTCTATGGACCTTCACAACAACACCAATGCACAATTGCACATGACTGGAAACCATTAGTGGAAAAGTAACATCAGAAATGAAATTCCAGCGGCGCTCAAAAGTTTCCAGATCAGAATTAGAGGATCTGATACTGATAGCAGGAGCACCCTGGCTGCAAGATTCCTACAACAACCAAACTCTGTAAACGCAGAAAGTGTGGCCATTTCCACCACTTGAAAGGCCAATAACACCTTTAGTTAATTTTATTATATCCATCGTCAATTAAAATGCAGTTTTACATTGTTAACTAGAAGTGAGAATCAGCTTCTGTAAATGCTTAACAGCATAGAGGCACATAAAACTTGCAATTTAGTGGCCATAGACTCGTGCAGAACAGTTTCACCAACCAGTGAAGACACAGCAAAGCCTTAATGCTCAGGGAACTAGCTAGCCAACCCTCCAAATGTTCTTTCATGACCTAACCCATGCACCAAACATCTTCGAGGCAGAACTCATTCATAAGACCATTAATGCTCATAAAGGCATGTATGAGTTGTTGAGTGAAGCTGCACATCAAATACTCAAGGTACAAGTGTGAAACTCCAAAGACTCAGTTTTACTGTTTTCGTCGTTAAAAAAATTGAGTTTCACTTCCCATATTTTCTTTTCTTTTTCAGTTCGTAACTCGTAATATTAATGATCATTGGTTAGTTCATAAACAGGGGTCATGATATCCAGAAATATAGAAATACAAGACTCCAGCTACAATGTCAGTTAAGGAAATGCAACTATTTCTCTTCAACCAACAATTACTGATGAGCATTTTCACTCTACCTAGCTGTAGTTCACAGCCTAATAAATGAGAAGAGAAAAGACCAAACATCTAACTAACAGCAAAAGTGCAGCAAAATATTGCTAAAGCACCAGACATTACGAATTCAGAGGATTGGATATTAGAAGGGAAGAGAATCATGCTTTAAACTTATCAAAAAAAAAGCATCATGCTTTCAGCAACCAAAAATTCTTCAAAATCTTTTGGAAACTACATAGCCTTTTAAATTGATCACAAGATGGATAATTGGGAATATCTGTTCATTATATATATATATATATATATATATATATATATATATTGTTATATGTTGCTACATTCTTATAAGGATATTGAATGATATCAAAGATCAGCTTTGCCGTTCCTCCCAATGTGCGCAACTTTTCAAGTACAGGTTTTACACGGATTGATTGCAAAGGGATGAATGTCTGGGGTGGAAGTCGTTGTTCCTTCAAATACTGCAAGTAGACCAAGAATTTTTTGTCATAAAGAGTGAACTATAGAATGCCATAGAATCTTAACCTTCTTCCTGAAAATATGATAGCAGAAGTAAAGGAAAACATTTTAGCACAAAAAGTAACAAAGCAGTGGTACAAAAGTATGCTAAGATACAAACTGAACCTCTGAATGGTTTTGTTACACTTCTAAATAATAAAGATAACCTAAAATTCACTCACCCATTCTTGAAGAGGTTGCTAACACTGTACCATAAAGAACTTAGGAAAGGAAATAGAAGATCAAGAAAGTAGGGTAAAAGATTAAGAAAGTGAGGTAACTACCTTAATACATTCCTTTCCTGTATAGTCATCTTCAACAACTATCGCATCCATGAATCTTCCCATAGCAACAGTAATTGCAAGGTGAAACTTCTTATGGTTTGACTTGCAAAGGTCTGTCATTCGACCATGCACACCTGGGAACAGACGCTTGAGACTCTCAACAGCCTCTGACAACCTAGCATCCCGCTCATTCTCAAACCTGTCAGCCTTCAGCTCACGTAATTCAGTTTCAACTTCATCAATCCTCGCCTTTAACTGATCATACCTTGACCTGAAGATCCAGAAAATAAAACACAAAAGAACCTTCAAATGAGTCAATGTCCTCCACACACAAATGCAACCAGTGGAAATATACAAAGCAGTACAAGATTTCAATTAAGTTTCAAATCAATAGGAAGATGAGATATGGATCAACTAACTTCGATGTTCGATGTGCTTCTTGCATTTGACTCAATTGTACTTTTACTTGTTTGAGCTCTTCATTGTTTCTCCCAAGTGAATCTATAAGCTTTTTCAGTTTAGCTTCCATTTGTTCCTCTTGGGATGCGAGCTCTTGCTCCCGACTCATCTGTTGTTGAAGAGTCCCTTCCAAGTTCTTTTGTAATTCAGTGTCAACTTGCTGCTGCCGATCAAATACCTCTTTTTCCTCTCTCAACTTTGCCGTCTTCATGCCAGCTTCTTCTTTACTGCAATAGACAAAGATCTAAACCTCAGCTACAACTACTACATTTCCAGGTTAAAAGACGCTCACTATAAAGATTTAGGACAGATGAGATGGATTGTCTTAGCACTTGGAGGAACAGAGACTTATGAACATGTTTGAAAATTGGACACGACATTCCTAGACAGATGAGTACCCTAAAGAACTGTGCAACAGCGATTCTCCACCTTTTTCCTCTCCCCCCACATTCCCCCCCTACGCCAACCCAAAAAAAACCAAAAAAAGAAAAGAGAGAGAGAGAAAACATTTCCTGTGGTCTATTGCTATCAACAGCCACAATATGATCCCTACGTTTGAAGCATAAGAATCACATTTTAAAGGCTTAGACACTCGAATAGAAGGCACTAAGGATGGAATCAGTTCAATGGCCATTAAAGACAGAAGCTCAGAGCTCCTAGAGGGGCTAAAAAGGCTTGATCTTAGGTCGGCCAGGCCTTTTGTCGAAGGGCATTCAATGAAAGTGATCAAGTGGGTAGCAAGAGCAATCCATGAGATTGGAAGTATTGAGAAAAAATGTGTTTGAATTATGAAGACCTTCGCAAGTTTCTTTGAGGTATGTGTAGTGTGAAGCCCATGCAGCAGCAGATGGATTCGCCAAGGGAGTGCTTCCAGCCAATGTTTCTGATTAACTTAACGTAGTGTTGCTTCAAGAGGCCAAAATTTTGTAAACATTACATTACTCCCTGACAGGGGAGTGGTCACAGTAATGTAACTTGTAAATCTTTTATAGTTAATTCAATCAGTCAACTGTTTCAAAAAAAAAGAACATGGAACATCATGGAATGCTATTTTATATCCTCAAGAATCAAAAGAAAGCGATTAAGAAGAAACAGTCTTTTTTTTTTTATAATGTTAAATCCAAACATTTATCTATCCAGCCATGAGGTAAATCAATACGGAAAAAATTATGCATCATTCGCATTCCTGGGGCAGTTTCAAATAGATCATATAGCAATTCTCTCTCTCTGAAAATATAGAAGAAAGGCGTATGTGCACCGCTATCAGCCATAAAAGGTCCAAGCCATAATTAATGAGAAGCTATACGACTGAACTCCAACATAATTACTCTGATATAGCTGGCTCTTCTAGGTACTTGAATATTTCCCAACTCTTCCGGTGCATTCACTGTTATTGCCTCAGTGAACATAGTAGCTAAATAATCCCAACGTGTTACATAAGGAAGATATTGTATGATTGTTCGATTTTCTGCAATTTTTTCCATCCCTCTGTGTAAATAACCTAATATGGGTTCACAGTCAATAACATCTTTACCGCCTAGAGTAACTATGAGTCGAAGAACACCATGCATTGATGGATAGTGAGGACCCATATTGACTATCATGAGGTTGTTTCTTGTAGCTGGTACAGTCATATATTTTCTTTCCCCGATTCAATATTTCATTAATTGCTGAAAATGAAACGAAGTTCATCGAAATCCAAGATCTAATGAACCGAATAATCCATGTTAAATACAAATTTCCAAATTAACGAGTCTTTGGCTCCCGAATATTCAACTGAACGATTAATTTTTTATAACGCACTTTATTTTTCTTTGACAAATAAGCCAACATCCGTTGATGTTTCCCCAGAAATTTACGCATACCTCTTTGGGATAAAAAGTCCTTTTTGTGCAGTTCCAAATGTGAAGTAAGTTTCCTTAACTTATCGGTGAAACAGAATATTTGAAATTCAACAGACCCCTTTTTTTCTTCTTTCGAAATAGATGATATAAACGAATTTATGACCATAAAATTCTTCCTTCTTTTTTCCTTCTTACTTTTCCACAAAGATGGATGGATATATGACTTTTCAATCAGGAAGAACAATGCCAGTCATCTCAATCTAATGCACGCAATAATCTGTTTCAATTTTTTTTTTTCTAGCAAATTAATAACTAAAATCGATTGATTCGGACACAAAAGAAAGGAAATATTTCTCCATTCACGAAAGAGAAGAATTTGTACCTCAGAATATCTTGTTGATTCATTCCTAGATCCAATTGATGCATCACTAAATCCGTATCATGTATCGTAGTTTAAGATGGCGTGTGTATCTATCTGTCTTTCTTCATATACACCGGATATAGTACGTGACGTGATAGAGGATAGATAAGAGAATTTAAGATCAACTAATTCCGAATCGTGGATACATACGTATCCTTGACATACTGAAACGAGTACCATTATTGGTATCAAACCAATTCAACCTCGAACAAGTGCATACTCGAACATCATTGACCAACTCCTCATCAATCTCGATTTATTTCAATATGAAGAAAAATTCAACCAAATTGATTGGCTATAAATATAGATAAAAGATGTTGAATAAAATAAGAAGTACGATACCAAGACCAAGGAAGGTATTGGTAATGAAATGGATCAAACTAAACTAAAAACTTTTCTCTATGTCATATCTTTATATGTAACATGAACAATATTCAAATGGGATTAAGGACGGATCGATGTGATAACAAAAACACAGAACACGACTTTATTTAATTGATTCTAGCATTCAGATTTCATTTGATATTTAATTGAATTGAGGGAGGAGAGGACCGAGAATACCCACGAGACAGGTATCTAAGTCAAAAAATTACGCCATTAACCCTATACAACCTATATCCTTTTGAAGTGGCTGTATCCAAAAGATTGAGGTCTAAAAAAATTGGGCCTATAAGCACGCCCTATTACATAAAGCAACAACCAAAAAATATCCAGTGTCCTAGAAGACCTCGATGGTCCAGTGCAAAAAAGGAGGTGGACCATTCGTTGTCTTCCATGTGCGATCATCGCCGCGCACCATCTTTAGCGAGAAGGTCGGAGAAGTCGTTCGACATCCGCCATGTATGCCTCCAACAGACGTTGGTATCCCTGCATAAGTGGTAAATTTCATCAATATCCTAGAAACGTACCAAGGAGGGGTAGTGGTGCCTGCTGCCCATGATAGAATGTTTTTTGCGTCCCCTTCCCACTAAGGATTGGCCCCAAGATGGATTAAAAAATTACAGGCCCATAAGGAGTGCCAATGCTTCGGCAAATTGTGAATCTCCATGTCCGACATATTCTGAATATGTCATGAGAACATTGCGATTGTGGTCGCGGAAGACTCCCCCTACTCCTGAAGGGCCCGGGTTTCCCAAGGAACAGTCATCGAAGTTAAGCTTTATGGCATTTTCTAGAGGAGGCAACTAGTTGTGAGGTCGTTGTAACTTGAAAGGCTGGAGTCGGATAATATTGTCCCATTGCCTGAGGAAAGAACTCATAGGAATCCCACCAAAGATGTTGTGGGTGGAAGCCCAAAAAGTCACGAGTGATGTAACCTTATGAAACAGCCCTGAAACTTCATTTTTGTGTCCTTGAAAGACCCCCTCATTTCTTTCTAGCCATAAAACCCATACGGTAGCAGCGATTGCTGCCCTCCACAAGGTTCTACCTGCTTTGGGCCAAGGACCACCTAAATAATGAAAAAATAAATCTTTTACCGAAGGTGGGAAGTCCCATTTGAGACTAAATAAGTTGTGAATCAGTGTCCAAAGCTCATAAGCCACACTTCAATGTAGAAAGAGGTGGGGAATTGACTCCTCTTTCAGGCACATTACACATCTGTTTGGGAGTGGCAGACCTCTTTTTTGGAGCTGATCGAGTGTGAGAGCCCGTTGACAGTCAGCTATCCAATTGAAAGACTGAACTTTTGGAGGAGCTATTGTGTTCCACACTTTGGAAAGAGGAGAGATGGGATTTAAAGGGAAAGTAGGAGGCTGGATAAGTTTCTTATAGAAAGAGGCTACTAAAATCTTACCAGATGGGGATAGTGTTGTTTATACCAAAGAATCATTCCCTGATGAAGGTAAGAACACCGGGTGAAGCAGCCAATAAGAATGGTGAAAGCTAATGTTTCCTCTTCAGAAAGATTCCTTCGAAAAGTGGTAGTCCAAGTTCTACGCCCCCCCGCCAAGACCATTTCATCTGCAATACTGGACTCTTTGTTGGAAGCAAGTTGAAACAAGTTAGGAAATAGGTCCTTAAGGGGAGCATGTCCAATCCACATATCAGACCAGAAGCGAACTCTATTTCCTTGTTTTGGATGGAAACGAAGTGTTTTCTTGAAATGAGCAAGAGTGGAGGTGAGAGATTTCCAAACTACTGAAGCTCTGCTTCGTGAGGGCCTTTCAGGTACCCAATTGTGATCCGAAATGTTATATTTATTCCGAATCACCTGTGCCCAAAAAGAGTCTGGTTGGGTGGCCAATCTCCACCACCACTTCCTCAATAGAGCCTTAGATCTCTGATACCTAAACCACCTTGGGCTTTGGGCAGTCGGACTCTATCCCAAGAGATTAGATGATGTCTCATTTTTTCGGCTTGGCCGGACCACAGAAAGTTCCTCATCAGTTGGTCCAGCCTATTAGCCACCAACACTGGCATATGGAAGATGGGCATTAAGTAAATAGGGGAGTTAGCCAGTGTAACCTTGACCAAAGTAGAACGATCGGCCAGGGAAAGGAATATTCCTTTCCATCCAGCTAGACGCCTATCAACTCTATCAATCACTTGAGCCGAATGTCTCTTTTTTGGATTCCCTAAACCTAAAGGTATCCCCAAATAAGTGGTAGGGAGGTCCTCTACTATACAGTCCCAGGATGGAATCAAGGATCTGATTTCTTGAAGTGTGAGACCCACTCCCATCATCTTTGATTTTTCCATATTTACTTTGAAGCCAGTGGCATTCTCAAAGCATTTAAGGACGATTCTGAGGTTCTCGATTTGCTGAGGGACTGCATCTAGCAGGACTAGGGTATCATCTGCGTATTGCAAGTGCGATACCAATAGACCTTGTGAGCTACAGAGGAAAGCCGAAAGTAGTCCTTCCTGGTAGAGACGAGAGATAGACCTGCTCACAACCTTGGCAACTATAGTAAAAAGAAAGGGAAATAGCGGGCCCGCTTGACGGGGCCCCCTCGAAGCAGCAAAGAATCCTTTAGGACTTCCATTTATAAGAACCGAAAAATAGGGGATAGAAATACAGCCTGTTATCCATTTTCTCCATCGATGACCAAAATTCATTCTAACCATCGTCTCATCCAGTAATGACCAGTCCACGTGGTCATATGCTTTCTCCCAATCGATTTTGAAAATCAAGCCTGGTTTCTTGGATAGGTGCCTAGAGTGGATACACTCATGAGCTACCAACGCACCATCCAGGATCAGCCTTTCTTGGATGAAAGCTAATTGGGACTGCGAGATGATGAAAGGAAGGACCTGCTTGAGTCTTGAAGCCAAAACCTTGGCCAGAATTTTGTATGTTGAGTTAAGGAAGCTAATTGGACGAAAGTCCTTTAGCTCTTCAGCACCTTCTTTCTTGGGGACAAGGGCTATAAAGGTGGCACTGATAGTTTTGTCGAGGATCCCCCTATGATAGAATTCTTCAAAGAATGGGAAAACCATCCAGCCCCGGAGCTTTGTTTTTGGCTAACCAGTCCTAAAAAGAGAGTCGTACTACATTCACAAAATTATAAACAACAATAATCCTTTTAAAAGGATCAATGGCACTAGCACCTGCAAATTTGTATGAGAATATGCTACTACCACAAAAATAAAATAACAAAATAAAAAGAGGCTACTCGTCTAAGCAGTTGCCTTTTGCATTTATAGTAGCAAAAAACACGAGAAATTAATAAAAGGACATACGGAATTATCAATGTGGTCACCAAAGCCATTTTACGTGATCAACATTGAATGTTGACAACTTACATTCTATGGTATTCCTTCAATTGGTTGTCTGCTAGTTGGAGTCTTCCCCCAACATCTTGGCCTTGCCCATTTAACTCACTGAGAGATGTGCGGACATCCTGCTCATCTTTCTTTAGTTTCTCAATTTCTTCCAATTTTTTCTCCTTCTCTGCTCTCTTTTTGTTCAATTCCTTCTTGCTGCTTTTAATTTTCGAGTTGATTCGAGATATCTCCTCCTTCAGTTTTAGAAGTTCTGGTTGCTAGAATACAAAAGGGTAACCACAAAATGAAGTCAAGAGATATATCTCACGCAGAATGAAACACAAATTCTATGGAAAAAGGAATTCAGCTACAGTACCCACATTAAAGAAAATCACAGGTAGGTATTCTTTACAGTAAACAATCATAATTCTCATAAACTATTATAGCAAACTTTATGGTGAACTTGCCACACAGAAGTGGCCTAATCTGAAACTGAAACCAAAGCACAATTGAATGACCACAATCACAACAGCAAACAATTTTCAATGGCCAAATGTCATAAAAGCAAACAAAGGACGAACAAGAGAAAAAATCAACAATGACATAAGACACAGACCACCAATTATTCGTCAACAAAAAGAAGACAAATAAACTTTGCAGCACTAGTGCTGAAGATCAAAATGAATCTGGACAACAGATATAGGTCGACTGGAACTTGTAGGAACAACAGAGAAGATTGCTGACAAAGAAATAATCACAAACAAACAAGACATGCTCTGTGAGGATCACAATATTGAAACTTGATCACAATATTGAAACTTGAAAAGGACAACATGTTGCTAGTTGTTACAATTCTTTGGGTTTCTAGACTGTTAATGGTGGCTTGGGTTTCTAGACAGTTAACGGGGTTGGCTCCCTTGCCAAAAAATAGGGCTGGCCATGGGCTATATATATATATATAGAAAGAGAGAGAGAGAGAGAGAGAGAGAGAGAGAGAGAGAGATGTATAGTAGAAAGGA